CTTACTAGACGCCACTCTGCCCCCATCTGAAGTTGCAGTCTGTAAATGTGCCGCACACGCAAGCAGTACAGACCCAGTTTCCCTAAGAAATTGGGTCTGCTAATTTACCTGCTGACTCAGCCGCAAAGGCAGCTGCTCTGATTCCTCTCGCACCTCACGCACAATCATTTGTTAAAATCCCTGTCTCCTCCTTCACTGACAAAATGTCGTCACTGACTTCCATGCAGCAGCTCGCTACACCAGTTGAGAAAGCTTTTAAAGCCTAAGACCCCAAAAAAGTGTGGGACACCATGAGAACCGTGACAGGAATGACCTCTTCAGCTAAACCTATTGTGAAGGACAAGACATACTTGATCCATACCAATTTGCCTATAAGCAAGGGGGTGGTACTGTTGCTACTCTGGTTCACATACTCACTAAACATTTAGATAAACGTCACACCTATGCAAGAGCCCTCTTCCTAGACTTCTCAGCAGCAACACAATACAAGCAGACATCTTGGTGTCAAAAATGGAAGTAAATCCATACCTGATTTAGTGGTATGCCGCTTTCCTCACCAGTAGAGAGCAACTTGACCAAACCCTGTCATCTGCCATCACAACCAATGTAGGGGCCCCCCAGGGCTGCGGGAGTTCAGCTGTGCTCTTAGCTTCTTTTAGCTTCTTTTGATGACTTTACTGAACTGCTGTCTGTAGTAGTGTTGCACGGTGTACCGATACTTGAAAGGTACCGCGATACCCTGCCGTTAAAAACGGTACGATTCCTCCGTTTCATTAGTATCGGTACTTTAAGAATGACGGGGAAAAGTACTCCGGTGAGAAAGTGCTGTTTTAATAAGAGCCGTGTGTGTTCAGCGCTCTGCTTCCACTCCCTGCACTGCAGCCGTGCCTGCAGTCCCTCCCCTCTCAAGCACGTTCTAAGTCCCTCCCCTCTCTCGTGCATTCAGCCACACGCTAGCTGCCAGAGCATTTGAGAAAACGAGAAGCATGGCTGCAAGTGGGAGTGCAACTTGCACTGCGCCTCGGTTTGTTGACAAAAAAGACGCCAGAAGCGAAATGTGGAAGTATTTGAGCGATATCTCAGACAGTGAGGGCAAGCCTACGGACACCACGAGGCCTGTCTGTCAGACATGTTTTAGATCCCTGCAAACCAAGGGAGCCAACACATCAGACTTGGCTAAGCACCCGCTGACCGGCATCCAGAGCTGTTTAAAGAATTTGAAGACAGACAGGTTAGCGAATGTGATAGATAACATAATTACATCATGCTCAAGCCCATGTCCTCAAATCTAAGTCAAACAAGTGTAATTTATTTTGTGACAAACGAACGTTTTCGTAGTTTGACGAGGCAATTAATGGCAATGATAACTGTCTAATATGGCTATCTTTTTAGCTAACTTAACAATGTGGCTAACATCTGCAATATACATTTTGTCAATAATTATTTATATTACTGTACTATTACAACTTAAATGTTTCTATAGAATTCACCAACCTCTTTAATTCGTATCTTTCATCCCACTCCCAATGTGTTCAAATTGAGAACCATAAGTCTAGTGTTTGTCAACTGGAGTACCGCAGGGCTCTGTATTGGGCCCAATCCTGTTTAGTATGTACATAAATGATCTGCCTTCTGTGTGTGGAGAATGTGATGTATTAATGTATGCTGATGATACAGTTGTTTTTACTCATGGCAAAACTGCAGAAGAGGCTGCTACCAAGGTCACTGATGTGTTGGAGAATATTACATCCTGGCTTAACAATAATAGTTTGCAACCAAATGTCTCAAAGACAGTGTGTATGTTCTTCTCCAAGGGCCACAGCATTATAACAGAGCAAGATGTTTTATTTTCTGGAAGGAGACTTCAGGTTGTCTCGGAGTACAAGTACTTAGGAGTACAAGTACTTAGGAGTACATATTGACACAAACCTCAATTTCAAAACCCATATCAAAAAGGTCTGCAATAAAGTAAAGTTCAATCTGTCAAATTACAGATACATTAGAAACTTCCTATCATCTGCAGCAGCTAAGCTATACCTTCACTCAATGGTCCTCTCCCACATCTACTACTGTCTGATCAGCTGGTCTAATGTTCACTCTACAGCTCTAAGGCCACTGAACTAACTCCATGGTCCTCTCCCACATCTACTACTGTCTGATCAGCTGGTCTAATGCTCACTCTACAGCTCTAAGGCCACTGAACTAACTCCATGGTCCTCTCCCACATCTACTACTGTCTGATCAGCTGGTCTAATGCTCACTCTACAGCTCTAAGGCCACTGAACTAACTCCATGGTCCTCTCCCACATCTACTACTGTCTGATCAGATGGTCTAATGTTCACTCTACAGCTCTAAGGCCACTGAACTAACTCCATGGTCCTCTCCCACATCTACTACTGTCTGATCAGCTGGTCTAATGCACACTCTACAGCTCTAAGGCCACTGAACTAACTCAATGGTCCTCTCCCACATCTACTACTGTCTGATCAGCTGGTCTAATGCTCACTCTACAGCTCTAAGGCCACTGGAATCACTGTATAAACAAGCACTCAGAACACGAGACAAAAAGCCATTCCGGTATCATCATTGTCACATTGTTAAAAAAGTATAATCTGTTCAGCTGGGAAAATCTCATAGTTTACAAAAACATCTGCTTAGTTTATAAGATCACTCGTGGGTTGGCTCCTCCTCCTCTGGCTGGCTGCATCAGCCTAAAGTCCACCTCAACCAGGGCTACTAGAGGTGCGGCTAGGGGAGACTGCACCATCCCATTTAGGAAGAGCGCATTCAGCCAGGCTGTCTTTCATTCCACGCATCCCATCAATGGAATTCAATACCACAACCAATGAGAGAGTCCTCATCCTACTACACATTCAAGCACAGTGTTACAAAGTGGCTCATTAATAATCAACAGTGTCAGCACTGATGTGTGGGTGTAGGTGTGTGTATGAGTGCGTATTGTACATTTTGTATTTATTATCATGACTTGCTCTTATCTGTATTCAGTGATGTCATCTATTGTAAATATGTACAATGGTATAACAATGTCGTGGTATTTTTATTATTGCTTTTAGGATGTCAATCACCATCTGGCAAAGGGACTATCGATGAAAACTAGCCTTTTGGCTAATTTGAGTACTTTTACATGTTTTTAATATGTTGATTAATGTACACTGTCCCTTGTTTTAAATAAATCAATTCAATGGACTGACTCAGCATGTGACGGAGCCCACGCACAATAAGGGGCACACTCTGGACTTAATGATCTCAAAGGGTCTGAATATCTCTGAGGTTGTGGTGACTGATGTTGCGCTCTCTGATCATTCCTTTGAGAGCTCTATTTCTGTTCACACAAATGTTCAGAAAGAGGTAACCACAAAGCGATATTTAACTGAAAACACTAGGGAAATGTTTACTCAGGATGTTTCTTCCACACTTGCCCCTGCTAACATCTCAGTAAATGAGCTAGTAGATCATTTTAATTCAAAAATAACTAAGTTAAAGGAAGTGACTGGGAAGAAAAGATCTCCATGGAGAAAGACCATGACCGTGAGAACAGCAAAAAGAGAGTGTTGAAAAGCTGAACGTAAAAGTCCTGCATTCAAAATGTTCCTCAAGTGAAAGTAGAAAAGTATTCTCATCAAAAATATAGTTAAAGACAGTAAAAGTATTCATTGTGCAGATTGGTCCATTTCAGAATAATAGATATGATATGTTTTATAATGATTGATCATGAAAGTGTTCTCAAAGCTGGTGAAGGTGCAGCTAGTCTGAAGTACTTTGTATACTGCAGGGTAGCTGGTGGATTTACTCCAGGTGGAACTAAAGTCTGATTCAACACTTGATTAGATTTCACATCATTCATCCACATCTGTGAAGTAACTAAAGGGATTAAATACATGTAGTGGAGGAAAAGTACACCATGTACCTCTGACTTATGTTCACTGCCAACCTAAAAGTACCTAAAAGAATAGTAATCAATAATGTATTGAAAAGTTATTTGGCTGATTGTTTTTATATCGGCTCAGCCAGGTTATATGGGAGGCCCAGTCTACGTACAATCTAAAAACAAATGCTTGGCTTAACAAAGAGAATCAAGGCAATAGGTTGCATCGATGGTTATTGAGTTAAGACAACTTCTAATGAAATGTTGTTAAAGCAACAAAGTTATTTGAGTTAGGGGAGAAGGCGTCTCCTCTACAATCAGGTGTTTTCAATTACCACTTACTTAATCATTGGTAGCATAAACACAAGTTTTAAGTTGATTACTCCAAACGTTCAAACTTGTTTTACCGTAGGATTTAAATGTAATCTTAAGTTGTATGTACTTAATTACCACATGTTGAACATGAACACATGTTTTTAAGTTGACAACCATTTGTAAATTAAGTTGCTTGTCTTTACTGAACTGCTGTCTGTGTTTTGACTTTGACCGTCTAGTCATTGTTGGTGATTTTAACATCCATGTTGACAACCCCCAGGACAGAGCGGCTAAAGAACTGTTTTGTGTTCTTGATAACTATGGTGGGGACCCTCTCATGACATCCAACTATAGGCCCATCAGTATCTTACCCATAGTAGCCAAGGTATTTGAGAAATTGATTGCCAAACAAATCATCAATCATCTCAACAACAGCTCCTTGTGTTCAAATTGAGAACCATAAGTCTAGTGTTTGTCAACTGGAGTACCGCAGGGCTCTGTATTGGGCCCAATCCTGTTTAGTATGTACATAAATGATCCGCCTTCTGTGTGTGGAGAATGTGATGTATGCTGATGATACAGTTGTGAGCTCACAGCTCCTCATATCTGTTCAGAAACTAGACAGAAGTTAAACAAGTACAAACCACAGACTGTCTGTGTCATGGCGAATACAGTCGCTGCTTTATTTATGTCTGTATAGGGCGTTCCGAGCTGAATAAGGGCGTCACATGAAGGCAAGACGCCCGCCTGGCGGAAACGCTGGAATTAGGAATATATTGTGATGAAGTGCACACTGACCTGAGCTCCAGGGGTCTCTTTCTTCTCCTCCATGCTGCTCATCAGCTGTCCTGATGAAGACCACAGAGCTGCTTCATTATTAATATAATACAAATGTTTAGATATAATTCATCATAATCTGTGTAGCAACTTACATTGTAACTTACAGCTCACAGTTTGTTCACTTTTATTTCATTAAAATGACTTTATTCACATAGAAATTTACATTAATGGTTGTTTGAACCACTGTTATAGCGCTATCCGTGTGTAACTATCACTAAGTTAACACAGAAAGCAAACATTAGCTAGTGAGACTGTTTAATGTACTCCATGTATACAGTATTTTCTGTATATTGTGTATTCTTTAGATACTCTAGTGATATGTGTCCTGTTTGTATACTTGCTGCTAATGCTTCATTTGTATTATATCTTATTGCATCTTTTAAATATGTTTAACTCGTGTAATGCCTGAAAACACTTCTGCTGTGACACATTCATTTCCCACTTTAAGATAAATCATTATGTAAATAAAGTATATCTATTTATCTAATGAGCTAAACCGTCGCTTAGCTTAGCGTTAGCTGCTAACTGAAGAACCCCATTCATTTCAATGGGAAAAATGCTACGTCACGTGAATGGCGATGCTAATAAGCTAGTTAGCATATATTTAAAACCATATCTATGGTAAAGAGCACCAACACAACAACTCAAACCGTCTTAAAGACAACTGGTGTAATAAATAACTAACATAAAGTCAGCTGAGCATTACATATCAACTGTTACTCCCCCAGAGCCGAACTGGAATAATAACTGTAGCTGTTAGCCGATAGCCGTTAGCTTTCAGACTGTAGCTGTTAGCCTGAAGATTACAGCTGTTGTGTTAAATAAGATAACTTCTGATTCGTGATTAACTGTAAACTAAGAGGTTTAATCCACTCACCTCTTATTTTGTCCTTTCTTCTTCTTCTTCTTCTTCGTCTTCTTCTTCTTCTTCAGTGTTTATTGGCGGTTGGCAAACCAACTTGTAGGCGCATTACCGCCACCAACTGGACTGGAGTGTGGACAAGAGACTATGCAGAAAACAAGAAACAAAAGAAACAAAAGAAAGAACCAAAACTCTAGATTATTTTTAAATGTATCAATTTCTCTTAGAAATTTAATAATCTCACAATATATATTGCCTGATGTTTTCCCTAACAGCCCTGATAGCGACAAGTCATGGAATGTTGCTTTCTTCAGTGTCTGGAAAAGCACATTTCTCTGAGTACTATATTTCCTGCAAAGCAGTAAAACATGCTCAACAGTTTCTGGCTGGCTGCAGTGTGTACACTTTCCGGTTGGATGCTTTCCTATTATACTTAAAGTATGATTGAGACCTGTATTATACTTAAAGTATTATTTATTGAGACCTGTATTATAATTAAAGTATGATTGAGACCTGTATTATACTTAAAGTATGATTGAGACCTGTATTATACTTAAAGTATGATTGAGACCTGTATTATACTTCAAGTATGATTGAGACCTGTATTATACTTCAAGTATGATTGAGACCTGTATTATATTTAAAGTATGATTGAGACCTGTATTATACTTAAAGTATTATTTATTGAGACCTGTATTATAATTAAAGTATGATTGAGACCTGTATTATACTTAAAGTATGATTGAGACCTGTATTATACTTAAAGTATGATTGAGACCTGTATTATACTTCAAGTATGATTGAGACCTGTATTATACTTCAAGTATGATTGAGACCTGTATTATACTTAAAGTATGATTGAGACCTGTATTATACTTAATGTATGATTGACACCTGTATTATACTTAATGTATGATTGAGACCTGTATTATACTTAAAGTATGATTGAGACCTGTATTATACTTAAAGTATGATTGAGACCTGTATTATACTTAAAGTATGATTGAGACCTGTATTATACTTAATGTATGATTGAGACCTGTATTATACTTAAAGTATGATTGAGACCTGTATTATACTTAATGTATGATTGAGCACCTGTATTATACTTAATGTATGATTGAGACCTGTATTATACTTAAAGTATGATTGAGACCTGTATTATACTTAAAGTATGATTGAGACCTGTATTATACTTAAAGTATGATTGAGACCTGTATTATACTTAATGTATGATTGAGACCTGTATTATACTTAATGTATGATTGAGACCTGTATTATACTTAAGTATGATTGATACCTGTATTATACTTAATGTATGATTGAGACCTGTATTATACTTAATGTATGATTGAGACCTGTATTATACTTAAAGTATGATTGAGACCTGTATTATACTTAAAGTATGATTGAGACCTGTATTATACTTAATGTATGATTGAGACCTGTATTATACTTAATGTATGATTGAGACCTGTATTATACTTAAAGTATGATTGATACCTGTATTATACTTAATGTATGATTGAGACCTGTATTATACTTAAAGTATGATTGAGACCTGTATTATACTTAAAGTATGATTGAGACCTGTATTATACTTAAAGTATGATTGAGACCTGTATGACCTATTCTCATCAGAGAAATGACATGTTCCTCCCTTCTTTTAAACCCCACCTTCCTTCCATCCCCCACATACCTTTGAATGTTATAAAGATGTCTTCCTGTATCACTAAGGTCCCAATGATCTTGCCATGTTGTTTGTGCATATTTCATATTTCTGAATGAATGTTTGAACCTCCGCTTTGCTGAGTGGAACTTCTATGTCTATGTTCATACTTCTGAGTGTTTGTTTGGCCAGAATATCCACCTGTTCATTTCCCTCCACACCAACATGAGCAGGAACCCAGATGAAACGAGTTGCTATGCCTTTGATTTGCATTTGATATAAAATTAGACATATTTCATTTATGATGTCCATTCTAGATGAAGATCTGCCTGATCGTATACTCGATAATGCTGAAAAGCTGTCAGATGCAATTACACTGTTATGTATTTCTGGTAGTTCTTTCGTTTCCTTTAACTCCTCTTGTATATTGAGGTCTCCACTTGGCAATGGGAGCAACCAGGGTGGAATGGACGAGATTGGAGCTGTGGGGCAATAATGTATTTGATTCAAACCTATACTTGCTGCTTTAACATCAGCAATCCATCCAACACTTGTTAAATGTGACTCATTGTGCTCCCAGCAGTCTTTCAAAATACTTTTCGCAGGATGACTATCACTGTGCCCCTGAAGGTTTACCCAGAATGCCAACATTAACTTAACTCTTCTTATCCTTAAAGGCATTTCTCCATTTATTTTTTTCATAACCCAATGATATGCTTTACCACCAATTCCCAATGATTTGAACTTGATTAGTAGTCCTTCCTTCCAGAGCATGTCATAAGCCTTTTCAATATCAAAGAAGACTGCAATCACTACTTCCTTGTTGGTCTGTGCTTTCCTGATGTCTGATTCTAAGCAAAATATAGAATCCATTGTATTCCGACCCCTCTGGAACCCACTTTGATATGGGGACAACAGAGCTTTACTTTCTAAGATATATGTTAACCTTTCTGTAACCATTCTCTCCATGATTTTGCATAAATGAGATGTCAGGGCAATAGGCCTGTAGCTAGATGGATCTGAAGGGTCTTTCCCTGGCTTCAGGATGGGCACTATTATCGCTTGTTTCCACTCTGAAGGAAGTTGGCCAGAATCCCACACCCTATTAAACAACCTTAACACAATGACTAGAGAGTTATCTGTCATGTGTTCCAGCATTTTGTAACAAACACCATCTTTCCCAGGAGTGGTTTGGTGAGCACTAATAATTGCTCTTCTCAACTCAAACATACTAAAATGCAGGTCCAACTGATCTCCTAACGCTTCTACTCTATCCAATATTCTCGTGTTTTCCATTTGTGTATTATTTCTGCACTGCCTGGCTTCCTCTGTAAGGTTATCTGAACTATGAACTTTCCTAAATGTTTGAGCTAGAAGTTCCGCCTTTCCTACGTTTGTGACAGCCATTTTGTCCCCTCTGCTCAAAACTGGCAACTCATAATTCCTTCGACTTCCCCCCATTCTCCTAATCATGCCCCAAACACCTGCAAGCTGTACTTCTCTTCCAATACTATTGCAATATTGCCTCCAAAAAGTGCGTTTTTGCGTTCTTATTGTTCTCCTCACTATAGCCTGGGCCCTTTTATCCTGATTCAAAGCTTCCTGAGAATGGAGTTGTTTGAGTTGCCTGAATGCTTTATTCCTGTCTTTAATGGATTTACTACATTCACCATTCCACCAGGGTACACTCTTGGTGTGCCTAACTCCTGCACTTTCAGGAACTGTTTCTTTAGCTGAATGAATGATAACCTTAACCAGCTCATCATTTCATTTATTTATATCATCATCATTTTCCTCTTGAAGTGTTTTACATCTATTCGTACTTACAACTTGGAAGGCATCCCAATGAGCCTTTCCCGATTTCCATCTAGGAATTTTCTTTTCCTTTTCAAACCTGATGTTGGTCCCAACTTTAGTCATCACCGGATAATGATCGCTGCCCACTGTAGTATGCTTTACCACATTCCATGTACTTATACCTGCTAAAGCATTAGATACAAATGTCAGATCGAGTACTGTTTCTATATTCTTCGTGCAATTATATCGTGTTCCTTCTCCAGTGTTAATGCACACTAGCCCGAGGTCATCTATATATTCCTCATCTATAATTGACTATATCTATAGGTCCTCTATCATTCCATACCCTTATAACTATTGCTTCATGATCTGTACTTACATGCATAACTTTGTAACTTATCCCACTCTGTATGAATGTTGCAACTCCTCCCCCTCTGCCAGAGTCCCTATCTCGTCTAACTGCAGTATATCCCTTCACAATAAAATCCAGTTGTGCTTTCAGCCATGTTTCCTGAATACAAAGAACATTAGGTTTCTCTCCCAGGTTGTCAATATATTTTTTGAACTCTTGTCCATTTGCAATTAAACTTCTAGCATTCCACTGCAGTACAATTACCACCATCAGGATGATCCAGTCCATGTCTGAGGTTGTTGGACGTCATCATTTAGGATATCTTTCACGTGTCCCCAGTGCATCCCTTTCACATCAAGGTACTTTTCAGCTGATTTGACAATTATTTATATTCTTTCATTCCGGCTTGTAGTCTGCGCTGAACAGTTGAGCATCTCTGCCATAAACAGTACAAACTCTCTTTTACTCACTATCAGAGTGTCCTCCTTCAACTTAACTTCCTGCCTCGTCACTTCCCTCTGCCATCTCTCGTCCAGTCACAGTCCAGTGTTGCCACCACCCCCTCTACCGCTCTACCGTAGACCGGAAGAGCACGCTCAATGAACCGGAAATGGAAATACGTCATCCCGTGCAACTAGCCTATTGTAGTGGATTACATATTAACACATGTGAGTGTGAAGGTCCAGAGTCTGAGACCCGCCCCCTGCTTCCTGTCTGTTGCTCAGCAACATGGAAATGTTCCACTCTGACACAACGTCTGTTTCCTTCTCATCATTACTCTTCTTTCCTGAGAAGTGATCAACGTTTCTGGGAGTGGACAGACTTTGTCACTAAGATGGAGTTGGAGAGATATAAAACTTGAATTGTGTGAATTTAAAGATTAAGTTCCTGTTTTAAGGTCCAAGCGGGGGGCGTCTTTGTTTGTGTCACCAAAATCTACTTTCAGTCTTTTTGCATATTTGTAAACACTTTTTCTGTATTTATGTGATCGTTCTAAGTCTGTTTTGATCCCCTTTAAGTCCTTTTGCTTTCTAAGTGGTTGCTTTGTGGATGTTTTAGTACTTCCTCCTCTCCTTGCAGTAATTCAGCTTCTCTCTGATGTTTCTTTAGTCATTTGATCATGGACGTGGGAAGGGGGGGTGCTGAGGGGGCTGCAGCACCCCCACCTGTTGGCGGAGAGTTGTAACTGCA